GCGTGGACGAAAACAGAACCTATTTCCGTCTGATTATCTTGGCAATAGGTGAGTTAGCCTTCGTGTTTCTTTATGTTTTATATACCATTTTGTAGCTCGTAAAATTCTCTATCGAATGGTAAATAATAGTTGGGGTTTTATTTGAGTATGATAGGAAAAGTTTTTTACGAAAGCGGGGATGGGTCGATTTTCGCATAGGAAGCCATAGGAAAAAATGAGTATTTTTCCAATAACTCATGAATGGTTCAGCCAATTCTTCTCATCTTCGAACTCGACCGAGACATTGTTAAGACTGAACTGTGTAGAAAATTTCATCGCGATTGGACTCTCCTTTCAAAAGTTATCGTGCTAACAGCCGGACGGACATACTGACCGATTCTAGAGTGTACTCACTTTTTGAGTACACAAAAAAGTAAGCACATGAGGAAGAACCATTCTGGGCTTCTTATATTATCAACTTGTCTTACACAATGTATCACCTGGTATGATTCTCTCGTTAGCTAAACAATCCTTCTACTGAAGTACTACTCACTGGTATGACATACTCTTCTGACTACTATTGATAGTAAAAAAAGAATTTCACTACTAGACCGGAACTTCATTGAATTTACAATCAATTATATGCCTTGAATATCTTACAGGTCTTACGTCCTGCAACATTCTTTGCTCGTTATTATGTTCTATTCAACTTGCTGTTCAGTAATGCTTTTGAATAACAGTGTCTGCTATTTGATTTCTATTTTCTTTTCTATCGTTATCGATCAGTAAATTTTCGTAGGAAAAAAAAAGAATAATAAATCTCATAATTATACCTTTTCCACCATGTATTGCAACTGTTTCAACACCTTTCAATAATAAATATTCATGAATAGCATCAACATCTTGTTTTCGTTGAGCAAAAATCAAAACCTATTTATTGAAAAAAAACAAGATTTTAATATAAAAAAAAAAAGGAAATTTTATTTTCTTAATTAAAAATTTACCGGTGGTGGAGTCTTTTGTAATGCTAATAATAATGACATAATTCGTGCTTCTGGCATAACATATTCAACTTCTTGTTTAACATCCAAACTGGCGGCACCTTGAAAAATTCAACTATAATCAATATCTAATATTCATATAATAATAATAATACCTGCTCGACCAACATTAATTGTTATTGGTTTAACTAATGCACTTTTAGCAAAATTTTGTATTTTTTTTGGCATTGTAGCTGAAAATAATAATGTTTGTCGTTGTGCCTAATGAATTCATTAAATATATAAAATAGATTACAATAAAAAAAAATAATTATTTACTTTAAAATGTGAAATTATATTTCGAACATCTTCTTCAAAACCAAGATCAATCATTCGATCGGCTTCATCCAAACATAAATATCGACAAACATCCAAAAAGAGTAATTTCTTATCAAGCATATCCATTAAACGTCCAGGTGTTGCTACAATAATATGTACACCACTAAATAAAAACATAAATAATTAAAATAAATAAAAATTCTTTTATTTATTTTACTTTTTTATTGTTTCTAATTGATCTTTCATAGCTGTACCACCAACACAAGCTACTGTTCTTAGTAATGGAAATCCTAAATTTGAAGTAAAAAATAAAAGATAAAAAATAGAAAGCAAAAAAATACAAACCAGTTTTGTGCGCATGTTCACAGATATTTGATATTACCGTTTGAGTTTGACGTGCCAATTCACGCTATAAATATATATCAGAATATTAAACATTATTCAAAATATATCTTCTCAATAAAACAAGTGTAATAAAAAACCTCCTAATCATTAGATATGTCTAATGGTAACACGAATGGTGCTCCCCGGACACTTGCTCCCCAACGACACTTGCTCCCTGAATAGGTTAGAGTGTAGGCGCAAGTCTGAGTGAGGGTGAGGGCGTAGATGTGGATGGGGATGTAAGTGTGGGAGAGGGCAAGACAAAGAGTGAGTTTCGGTTTTGATTTGGGCTTGATCTGGGCCTCGAGAGCAAATGTCGCTGGGGAGCAACTGTCGCGGGCGAATCTGTCCGGGGAGCACCTTTCATGGAACCATGTCTAACGGTTAAATACTTTGTCATTGAAGTCTAAGTTATCCACTTTTCGTAAAAATAAACTAAGAAATTTTCTTTCTGTTGCTTTTTTTTATATGGCAATAATGAGAAAATCTTCTAAACGACCTGAAAAATTAGTTTTGGTAAAAGTATTATGTTTTTTTTTTGCATATTACCGAATTGTAATCCGAAACAAAGGTTTGACATGTTTGTTTTATCTATCAGCTGATAGAATAAAATCTGCAGTACAAAATGTACATTTTGAGTTCTCGTACATCCACGAACAAGGGATCTATTTCCTAAAAAATTGAATTTTTACGACAGAGTAGTTTACTTTACAAGTAGTGCCTAGAAAAATGCTTATAGCTTCATTTGGGTCATAGCGACAATCTAGTTCATTATTAAATTTTATAAAAAAAAGTGTCATCTCTACAGAATTATAAAGTTTAATAACTTTAAGCATCGCGACAAAAGACTTCATGAGATTTTCAAAGATTCTCAAGCAAAATCAAATAGAAAATTATTTCACGAGGAAATATATTCAATTATCAGATGCAGTTCAACTTCATATTAAGACTACGACTAGGTGTCTCAATCAGATTAAGAAAAGATTAAAAGGATTCAATCTGATCACCTACTATTAAAGAGTATTGACTATTTTACTGACAATGGAGGTGTTTGTACTGTAACTTAAGGAGATGCCACATATTCGGGTCAAATGAAAGCTCTCACCGAGAAACTAACAGGGTTAAAATATTAGCTGCTAATGGCTTGCCTAGAGGGAGATATTTAACTTTTAAGTATAGGTATAAAAATGAATCAGGAAAGGTTTTCTCCACTATTATAAGGACAAAACATAGTATTGTTCGGGCCGATTATGGGGTTTGTAGGGACCCTCTTTCATATGGCCCGAACAACACCATGTTCTGTCCGTATAATAGTAGAGTGAATTTTTCCTGTGGCTCATGGAATCAGCTTTTTCTGGCCACCACAGGAAAAATTCACTCCGCTATTATACAGACAAAACATACTGTTGTTCGAGCCATATGAAAGAGGAACCCTACAAACCATATAATCGGTCCGAACAACACTATGTTTTGTCCTTATAATAGCGGAGTGAATTTTTCTAGTGATTGATAGAAAATGCCGTTTCCATGACCTACAGGAAAAATTCACTCTACTATTATACGGACAGAACATGGTGTTGTTCGGGCCATATGAAAGAGGGTCCCTACAAACCCCATAATCGGCCCGAACAATACGATGTTTTGTCGTTATACT